TTGGTCTAACATATGTACAATACAGTGTTTTTATTAGATCTTTATCCTTGTACTTGAATGTATTATTTAGTAGTGAGAGTATACTATTTGCTTTACTAGCTGCATATTTTACTTGTTTGGCCCATTTTAAATCACTTGATATATAAACACCAATGTCTTTTTCTAATTTTGACTTTTCAATTTCCATTAATGTATTGTTATTGTTCATAAAATATGAATATTCGTTATTATTTGAACCAAAGTGCATAATTTTACATTTTTCAAAATTTAATCCTAATTTCCATTTTGTTGACCACTCGTCAAGTTTATTTATATCATTTTGAAACAATTGTGAATCATTTTGAGAAGAAATAGGTGCAATTATCTTATTATCATCAGCATATAAACAACATTCATTAATAAAATTTTCTAGTAAATCATTTATAAATACCAAAAAAAGGAGAGGACCTAGAACAGACCCTTGTGGTACACCACTAAGTACAAGTAAATTAAAAAAACTTGTTCCAAAAATGTTTAAAACAATTTTCAAAAAAATGAATTCTTTAAAGCAGTGTTTCAATACATATAAAATATATATTATACAATTGAACAACTTTGTCTAACTTTGTCAAAAGATCTTAAAATTTTTGAATAGCTGCAGTCCATCAAAATAAAACAAACAACTAAAGTTCTTCAGATTTTTATCAACAAAGAAGAGATTTTATGAACACCTTGTTCTTAAAGACAGTGGATATTCATAAAGATGGTGGATATTCATAAAGATGGCGCATATTCATATTTATGATAGTATTCAGATATTCGTAAAGATTGTACTCATGATGGTGGAAAGATGTTGATAATTTCAATTTCGTATCTAAGAGCCAATGTTGTATCATTCAAAAGTTTATGGAGCTCCTTTCTTTTTCATTAACCCATCACAATAGAAACATGAGTATTTTTCTTTGTGACCCAAAACTTTGCAGAAAAAAAAAATTTTGGAATTGCTCATTTAAAACCTACATCTCAAGTCAAGAAAAAAAGATACAGAAAATCTGAGAATAATATTTGATGAACATTAATACCGAAAAAATGAAATACCAAAAAAAAGAAAAAATGACTACCAACAATAAAGATTGTTCTCTACAAAATATTTTAGCATAATGATTTTTTTAATGTAATTATTTTTTTTTTGTAACTCAGAAAGATTAAGTTTACAACTGCAAACAATTTATTGCAACTGCAAATAGTTTACAACTGCGAATAGTTTAAAACTGCGATCAGTTTACAACTGTGAACAGTTTACAACTGAGAACAGTTTACAACTGTGAACAGTATCCTGTCCTAAATAGCACCAAAGAAGTTTGTCATGTTTGTCTTGTTTTTTTAAATTTAAGACAACAATTGACCCAGGCTCCACAGTTACAGCTTTATCTTTTTATTTAAAATAAAAGTTTGTCTTGCTTCCACAAATTCCGGGTGGATGAGACTTAATGTTTAAACGAAATTTAGGGTTTATAAACTCTCTTATCTTTTGAATTAATGAACAAATTAATGAATTAGAGAAAAACACTCTAATGTTAAACATATTTTGCCTCTACCGATACAATAGAAACAGATACAACTCTTGGACAAAAACTTGATCTTTGTAGGATCATTTTGAAGCAAATTTTTTTGTTCAGATCTTTCTTTATAAGAGAATTTTAATTTTATAGATAAACATTCTGACAAATAGTCTTAATTTAAACAAATTATCAGACAATTGACAGTCAATTTAATGAGACTAATTTGCCTGAACTTTGATTCGTGCCAACCTTTTGGAATCAGCCTCTAAAAAAACAAAAACTTTGATTTAAGAATATAATTTAGGATCCTATTTAAGATAAAGCAATTATTAAAAAAAAAAACATTTCCTTTAACCAGGAAATTATTGATAAAGTTTTTAAAGGGTATTTTTGTTCCATTTCTAAAATCATGTGGTATGTAAATACCAGTATTTTTGTTCCATTTCTAAAATCATGTGGTATTAACATACCACATGATTTTAGAAATGGAACAAAAATACCCTTTAAATACTTTATCAATAATTTCCTGGTTAAAGGAAATGTTTTTTTTTTTAAATAATTGCTTTATCTTAAATAGGATCCTAAATTATATTCAGATTTTAAACTTCCTTGATATATTCTTAAAAGATACAATCATATTAAGTTCAAAAACATTTATTAAATGTTTTACAATTCATTTTTTAAATGTTTTACAGTTTTAAAAAAAGGGTTTTAAAAAAAATAGTTTTTTATTTGTTTTCTCCAATTTACATCTCATGTCAACCTGCTCAATTTATATCTCACATTAACCTACTGGAAAAAGTGGTTTAAAAAACCTAAAGTAAGAATGACTTCAATTGAAAAAACAAATTAATTAATAAAAAAAAAACAAATAAAAAATTTTATTTAATATTTTATTTAAATATCTAATTTATTAAACTATTTATTTCATTAAAGAATAAATATATGGTTATATCATTTGAGGATTAGTGTTTATATCATTTAATGATTAGAATAAATTTACAGGAAAATTTACCAGTAAACTTTGAATCAAATTTTAGGGGAAAATTTACATCACTAGTAGTCTTGTGAAGGTAAAATTTACATCAATATTGAAAATTAATGAAGTTTAAAATATGATTACAAATTATGACATTTAAGATAAACAATTATTTTTTTTCAAAAAACAATTTCCCTTAACTAATAGGAGGGTTTTTAGAATAGGAGGGTTTTTAGAGAGTACTATTGTTTTAGTTTTAAAACCTTTTAGAGGTTGATTCCAAAAGGTTAGCAATAATCAAATTGGTTCAAAAAAACTTATTAAGCTTTCTTTATACAATTAAAAAAAAAGATATCTAAACAGTTATTAGAAAAAGTGTTTTTAAATAATTTTAAATACCTCAAAAGATTTTTAATCATAAATAATTTTTTTGACATTTTGCACAGTTAACTCTTGATGAATAAACCAATAAACAGTTAACTATATCCATGAATAAACAATTCAATGTTTTCAAAGTAATAACTATATTATAACATTAAAAAAGTTTACGGGTTTACATACAAAAGAATTCAAATCTCAAACTGGATAACTATCCAAAAAATGAAATGAAAATAAAATTATGTATTTACAGAGAATCTGCATAAGTAAAAATAAGTTTAAAACAGTTTTTGAATTATTTTATTTTGAATTATTTTATTAAAGTTATTTGAAAAACTTTTAGTTTATCCAGCTTTAAAGAGATTGTTCAGAAGAAGACAAAACTAAAAGACAAAACAGAATAACAAAAATTAACAATTGCATATTTTTAATTGTTCCTCCAAAGTAGTTTTAATAGACAACTTATAAAAACAACTGTGACATTATGATAAAAACAACTTAAAAAATAATTGCATTTTTAGTAATCACAATTTTTAAATTTTCTCGAAAATTTTAATGAAACATAAAATATACAGAATCTCATAATAAAATCTGAGTAAAGAATTCAGATTATAGAAGTAATTAAATAAATAACAATGATAATCAAAAATAGTATTTATTAAATATTAGTACATTTAGGTAATTTCATCACCAAAAAATAATTTAAAAAAAAACTTACAAAAAGGTACAAAAGGTAAATGCAATGTTAGAATATAATGTACTTCTACAATGGATAGAAGATTGTTCGCTTATTAAATAAATTATTGCATAACATGTCATTTTACTTTTATAGAAAAAGGGATTTGTTGAAACCCAATTGTGAAAATTATCAGAAAATTGGATTAGAACAAGACAAGTTGGAAAATATATGTATTCAATACACAAGTATTTGTGGTACACAAATATTATTTTCAAGGTATTAACAAATATTATATTCAATACAGTTTGTATTTAAAACAAATACTCAATGTTTTTATTTGAAACAAATATTCAATGTTTATATTTGAAACAAACATTTAATGTTTGTATTTGAAACAAACATTCAATGTTTGTATTTAAAACAAATACTCAATGTTTTTATTTGAAACAAATATTCAATGTTTATATTTGAAACAAACATTTAATGTTTGTATTTGAAACAAACATTCAATGTTTGTATTTGAAACAAACATTCAATGTTTGTATTTGAAACAAACATTCAATGTTTGTATTTGAAACAAACATTCAATGTTTGTATTTGAAACAAACATTCAATGTTTGTATTTGAAACAAACATTCAATGTTTGTATTTGAAACAAACATTCAATGTTTGTATTTGAAACAAACATTCAATGTTTGTATTTGAAACAAACATTCAATGTTTGTATTTGAAACAAACATTCAATGTTTGTATTTGAAACAAACATTCAATGTTTGTATTGGAAACAAACATTCAATGTTTGTATTGGAAACAAATATTCAATGTTTGTATTTGAAACAAATATTCAATGTTTGTATTGGAAACAAATATTCAATGTTTGTATTGAAAACATGGTTATCGTAGAATTAGTTTATTTCATATTGTAAAAAAAAAAAAAAAAAAAAATTCTGATAAAAAAGATATTTCTGTTACAGATAATAATTAAGCATTTTGATGAGCAAAATATTGTTCATAAAGACATTTTAAATTATTTATTTTCAAAAAGCAAGAAAACGTACATGCAATAAATGAACAATTTAAAGACTATTATATATTTGTTTATACATCATATATTTTTAATACAATTATATTAGTTTTGTCCAATAGTTTTCTATAAATTTCTCCTAATTTATAACCAATATCAATAAATCCAAACTTTTTCCAAACTATGAAATAATTTATTTTTTCTAGCAATAACTTGTTTGAGTTAAGTTATGTTGCAGCGTTTATTAAACAAACTTGAAAACTTGTCTGGGAAAACTTTCATAGAACTATTGATACATGAAAATACTTAGACATACTTACAGAAATAACTACATAAGAAATATATTCACTGATTTTTATTAAAAGTACTTTTTTTAATAAGGAACAAAAAATAATGAACCTGTTATTCATCTCTGGATAGGTTGAAAGTGTGTGGACAGCAATATCTAATTCTTGTGTTATGTCAGCAATTCTTCTCATGATAGTTACTTTTAAAAAATACCTAAATTTAATCCAAAGATAATGAATTTTACCATAACAACAAGTACTATTGCCAATTAAAGAAAACTATATAAATATAGTATGAATAAAAAAATTAAATACAAACATTGAGTAAAATATTAATATATATATATATATATATATATATATATATATATATATATATATATATATATATATATATATATATATATATATATATATATATATAAATATAAAAGACATGCAAGTTTGATAGGCTTCTGCTAGGTTCAAAACTTGTACAGTTGCTTTTTTTATTTTTTTAAATTTCTCTAAGAAAGGTCTAATAACTGATAAAAATATAGTCTTACAAGTGCTTAATAAATGTAAATTGAAGATTTTTTAAAATTAAAACATGTTACATAAAATATCAAAAAAAAAATTTATCACACTAGTGGTGGTGTAGCTGTAAATAAAAGTAAAAGAGTAAAACTTTACCAATAATAAATTTATATAATAGACATATCATAAATTTCCACTGAAACAAAAAGAAAAAAGATTTTAGTTTTAGTTTTACTAACCTTTTAGTTGAATCAAAAAAAAAAAAAAAAATTTATCTATAGATTTTTAAATTTAAATGAAATTAATAAATATTTGTGTTTTTGTGAAACTGTGCCTATGGTTTATGCCTTATTGATATATTTCATTTACATTTTTGCATTAAATATATAAAATTTAATTTAATAACACATTTTGAAGTAACTTAAACAAATTAATTGAGAAGACAAACTAAAAAAAAATCAAAAGTGATCAATTACTTTAAAAGAAAAAAAATATTGCTTACCTAAGTCTAACATTTGTCCCAGTATATGATTCGTAAGGTTTTTCAACATTAACAAATTCAAATTTATAAGAACCACTCATTAATAGTTCACCAGGTTTCACAAGCTCTTTTACAAGAGAAGTGAATTCATGATGATTACCTCGATCATAAAAAAGTTCTGAAATTAAAAAAAAACTTTTTACTAATAAAATTTTTTATTATTTACAACTAAAAAACAAATTCAAAACAAAATTTTGTTCTTAATCCACTCCCTAATATGTCCTAATAAAAAGTTTAGCCTAGATGTCAAATTTGGTGTTTGACTCGCTGTACATAGGTTTAAACTCCATAAAGGTGTAGCGGAATAGTGTCGCAAAATTTTGATTCTCGCTAAATTTTGATTCTTGCAAATTTGATGGTCGAAAATGTAAAGGTCGCAAATTAATGCCTTATTAATTGTCGAATAACAAAATAAGGAAAAATGTTGCAAATAAATTTAATGAATAGTATTGAAAATAAAGAAAGGAATAATGTTGCAAAGGAGTTTAATGAATTGTGTCAAAAACAAAAAAAAGAAATAACTTTTGTCTACCAACTGGACCAGCTGGAAGTTTTTGTAACTGTATCCACAATTATAGATATACTTCTGAGGCCTGTACACACTTGAGTAGAAGAAATTTTTTTTCCAATTGTATTATTCCAATTTGGAACAATTTGTCCTTTGATATCAAACTTAATAAGTCAGTGTTAAACTTAAAAAAAAATCTTGATGAACTTTATTATGTGAAATAAAATTTCAAATTGTATTTTTTAAATTTGCTGCTAAAGTGGATTACCACTTAGTGAGCATTTGCTCACCGCGGCAATTAAATAAATAAATAAATAATGTCCTAAAGGAGTAACTATAAATATGTGTTTAGATAACATGTTTGAAGTCATACTAAAATAGCCTGCTGTAGGGGGCTTCAGTACATACACAAACTATCATATAGCTTGCTGCCGAAAAGGAGTGACACTAGATCAACTGTAGGTTTGGGGTTTGGTACCAATCTTTTCTTTCATCATTCTTTGTTATTTTCTTTGTTTTTCTGTAAAAGCTATAAAGATAATCAAAACAAGTAAGCAATTGCTGAAATTAGCAATGTGCACACTTGAAATTAACTATTTGTGATACAATTTCATTTTTACCATTTGCAACACTATTCCTATTTTTTGTTTTTGACACTATTCATTAAATTTATTTGCAACACTGTTTTTTTTGTTTTCAACAATATTCATTAAATTTATTTGCAACACAATTCCTTTTTTTTTTTTTGCAACATTAGGCCTTTTTAATATATTGAACACTATTCCAAAGTTCATTTTTCAACACTAATCAGGTCACTCTCCATAAATCCCTCTCTTTATTTCATGAAAATCTAATCGTGCACTTTATTTCATTCTCAGTTTAGTAAAATTCCAATTTAGCGAATAAAACTCATTCATTCATTTTGGAATTCATTACACTAGCGAATAGAGTTTTTTTATTTTTTTATTTTTTAAATTATTTATTTAGGCGGAATTTATTTGACTGAAATTGCAAAATATAAGACTTAACTTCCTGGTAAATAAAAAAGATTCAGACTATTTGTTGACTATATCAGTTATTTGAAATGCTTACTTTAATAATAACGCTATAAGGTTAGAAATTTACATTTAGTTATTTTTTATTTATATATTTTAGTTAGTAATTTACCTTTCCTTTAACGCTTTTTCTAAATATAAATGCGTATAATATTTGTTATTTAAGTTTTATTATTAACGATTATTCATGTGTATGAGTTTTCATTTAAAAAATGCGATTTTTTATTATAATTTTTGAAAATAGTATTTATGATTGTTATACGAATTAGTTAATTTTAAAGATGTTTTTTTATTTTATTTTAAAATTAATCTTTACTTACAAATTTCAATATACTATTAGGTAAAATTTAACATTTAAAAAAAAGAAGAGAAAAAAAGTTTGGGATATAGCAGATCAAATTGACAACCTTTAATTTTTATTTTCAAATTTTTACAAATTTTAAGTTTTATTTTTCAAAATTCATATTAGTGTCCTTAGACTATGCAATCAAACCATGATATATTCTTTTTCTATTATAAAAAATCCTTTATGGGATTATTTCAAAGTGAGTGATGAAGATGTTGGCAAAGCAGTGTGCACACTTTGCAAGAAGACTTTGTCTAGAGACAGTAAAGATGCACTTAAAACGTCAACAACAAGTTTACAAAACTCAATTTCAAAAAAGTGCATCACAATGTACATATCATGATTCTCGCAGCAAATAAAACTGTTATCCGCCAAGCTACACTAGATTCAAGTCAAAGTGCACTTATAAACAATATGCTCAGATGGGAAAAGGTGTGTTGAATCAGTGCAAATTAGTTGCAGCAGAACCACCAAGGAAACTCAAGAAAACTCAAATGTGTTTACTAATTCGTTTGCTTCTATTCAAAGAACATCTAGACAGGTAAGTGAGGTAGTTCTAGGTAAATGTAATTACTATTTAGTATTTACAATTTATAAAAATTAATTTGTTAATTTATTTTTATTATTAATTTATTAATTTTAAATTAAATTTTATTTTTTATTGTTTATAAGTTGAATAAGAATATTATTTTTTTGTTACTTGATTAATGTTTTAAAATATTAGTTTAAATATGAAATTATGATTCATACTTTTTTTTTTTAAGTATGGACGAAGTTATTTTTTACTTTAGCCTTCAATATTACCAAAAAATTAATCTCCTTATAAGTGGCGGGGTGCTTACAATTACACCTGCTCTGATAAAGACATTAACAAGAGTGATTTGGCAAGGATCTCAATAAAAGTTTAGTGCGCACCTCCTTCATCTGTTAAAAATGAATGCCTGTTCAGCACAAAAGGAAACATATTTGAAACCAAAAAAAAACAGGCTAATGCCTTAGCTTTTATAACTTTTTTTAACAGGCTGAGAAATTTTTTTAATGCCTGAGAAATAATGATTTGCCTAATTTCTTACAATAAATAATAAATTTAAATGTAATAAACTAATAAATTGCAGTATAATAACAATAATTTCTCCATCTGTAACTAATAGTAACTAGTAACTACTAAATAGTAACTAGTAACTACTAAATAGGAACTAGTAACTACTAAATAGTAACTAGTAACGACTAAATAGTAACTAGTAACTACTAATATTATATATAGTAACTAGTAACTACTATACTAGTAACTACTTATATAGTAACTAGTAACTACTAAATAGTAATTTTATTAAATTTCAAAGAACAAACTACTGTATACTTAACATTGTTTATAATATAATTTTAAAGTTTAGACTAGATTAAGCTGATGAGAAGCCAAACTAGCTTTAAAATTCACTCATTCAATTACTAACTTGTAATTAGTAATTACTAATTAGCTAGTCATTTTTTTCCACATAGCACAAAAAATGCATAGCTACATAGCTCAAAATCGTATGACATTGCATAATTTTAAAAAAAGCTTGATGATTTGTCAAAATTTAAAAAAAAAGCTTCAGCTCCGTCCAAAGTACCAGCTTCGGCAAAGCGACTTTGAATGAAAGTTCGACTTTGATAAAATCTTAGCTTCAGTTCATCCCTAGTTGCATACCATGAATGTTGTTTTAAAGAAATCCCTATACTGTATTTTGAACTAAAAAACTATGATTTTCAGCAAAGCATATTTTAATTAATATTATAATTACATAATAATGTGATTAATACGTAAAGCAAATAAGATGGGTGACCTTGGAATGGATGAATTGAATGGATGAACCTTGGACCTAATTAACCACTGAGAATATAAAATTAATTACAAAAATTAAAATCACCAATTTGTCCAATAAATTCAACTTTAATGCCATGATGCTCTAACTTTTTTCCAGGGTACTTTAAATTTACATTAACCTAAAAAAAAATATGGTAACAATAACAAATAATATTATTAAAAAAAATAATAAAACAAATAATAGGCCCAATATAAATAACAGAGTTGTTTCATATTTTTAAGAAGTAAAAAAAAAGATATACTATGGAAAAACTAAAATAATCCTATTTTAGTTTTTCCATAACATATATTTTTACTTTTTATTTTTTATTTTGTATGTGTTCTCATGAACTTCAATACTGTTTTGCATGGAAGAAAAATAAGATTCTTAAATGCAAAACAGAACACATGCAAAAAAGTTAAAAATTAAAATTAAAAAAAAAAATTCATAATAAAAACAAAAACTTGAATCAAATCTTGAATCTTAAACCAGGTGAGGCTCCTTAGCTGTGGTAAAAGTGATTTACTTTTTAGTTTTAATGAAAAAAATATATTAAAAAAATATATATAAAAACTTATATAAAACTGAAAATTTAATCGCAGGTAAAAATATCATATCATTAACATTAAGTCAGAGATGATCCAGTTTGATTTTGACACCATATTTTAGTATGATTAGATTGGGATGTCCAAATTAATCCGCATTACAACTTTTTATTTTATTCTGATTCACTCCAAAAAAAGCTGTAAGCATCCAAAGCTGAAGCATCCAAAGCTGTAAGCATCCACTATTAAGTGGATTACTAGAAGAAGAAAAAAAGAATAGTGTTATAGAGCAAGGAAACTGTTGACAAAAGACTTAAAAAGTTGTAGGTTGTACAAGGGTGCACAATCAGACTTTTGGTTAGTCACCACAAAGGCAACTAAAAGAAATCAGCTCGTTAATTTTGGTTGCCCACCAACTTTTTCAGTTGCCCGTCGCTATTTTTTATAAAAATTTTCCTATTCAGCGGATTTCTTGCATATTCTAGTCTTTTTTTATAATAGGGCTAAGTGTAGACTAGAAATAATTTGCATAAATAAAAGTAATATTGTTAACTATTGATAACATTAAATCTTCTACTTTCTGATAAAACACATGCTGATATATATGTCATTAGGTTTTTCACTTCAATTATTTCTCTTTTTTACAAAAACAAAGTAATATAATAATAAATATAAAAAAAAGCAATTTACAAATACTTTAAAACATAAGCACTTCTCCCTTTTTATAAGAAAGTTTTTCACTTAAAATAATCTATAATAATCGATGATGGAGAGACTTATATTTTACATAATGATTTAGCAGACAATTAGAAAAAAACTTCTTTATAGAAAATTCTGAAACTATTTTTTACATTTATTTGAAAGTTTTACATTCAACATGTTTCTATTTTACATTCTAACAAAATTTTTTTTATAAAACATTTTTTTTCTTTAAAAAATTCTGAGTTGCAGTTAAATATTTTTATTTACTATTTAATATTTTCTGAATAAACATAACAAAAACAAAATTAAAAGATAATTTAAATATTCTTAAAAAAAGTTTTCAATTAATTGAAATGCTTTCAACATTTTCCTTTTACAAAAAAGTTTTTCACTTAACTGAAGCGTTCAGTTCAGAAAAAGAAATATTAGTTTTTCTTGGTATGCATTCATCATTTATTTTTAATAAAGAAAAACTTGGTTCAAACCTTTTTTTTCAACATTATCTTTAATATGAACACAAAATATGTTGGGAGTTTGGGATCCCTTTAAGTATTAATTAAAATTAAAATTGAAATCAATATTTTAAATTTTATTGAATAATAATAATGAAGCATTCCATTTTCAGGTCAAGCATATTTGCATCCTGTATAAGCCACATTAATATGTTATTATATTTTGATATTATTAGACATTGTTGAAAATTAATTTGTTTTTAATTTTAAACTTAAAACTACTAGATATATGTTATTCTTATAATTGTTTTTCTTTATAATTGTTAATTATAATCGTAATTATAATTAACATTTCATGGTGTGTGCATATGCTATAATTATGTTTTCTTTTTTAAATTTATTTTACAATTAATTCATGATCATTTCTGTCAATATTATTAATCATATTTCTTACTTGGGTAAATGATTGTTTATAACAAAGTCTATAAATATTTACAAAAGAACAATTGATTTTGTTATACATATGGAAATATAATGAGGAATCGAAATCTAAACACTTAGATAAAAGAAACCTTAAATACAATTTTAATATTGAACAAAAAATAATAAATATATTTTGTCCAATAACAAATATTTTTTTTTATAAAATTTAAAAAACGAAAACATCAATCCAAAACAAAATTCATAAAGTAGATATACATTATATCTTTAATATAATAAAAACCAAAAGTTCTTTTCTATCAGTCATATTTTTTTCTAGAGCTATAGTTGCTTATCCTTCTTTTTATTTTCATTATTATGTGTGCTTTGTGGATCCTAAAATATTTTATTGCTTTAAGAGATACTATAATTTTTAGATTCAGCAGGTTTTAAACTTCTTTGGTACCTAATTTTAGCATCGTAGCATTGCTACATTATTTATAGAATGAAAAAATATTTTTAGTTCTTATTTTTCTTTTTCTTTTTTTTTTTCATTTAAATTTGAACAAACTTCAAGTTGCTGTAAATCCTAAAGAATTTAAAAAAGGAACTCACAGTCTTTCCTAACTTGAAAAAATTCAGTCTTTACTAACATAAAAAATTCAGTCTTTTCTAACTTGTAACAATTCACAGTCTTTTCAAACTTACATTATTAAACATTTGCGATAAAATTATGCAAATTTAGTGATGGGTGCATTTGAAACTTTGTATAACAGAAATTTGTATTATGATGCAATTTAACAAAACACAAACTAAAAATATTAAATTGACTTAACTGACTTAATTGCTTATTTGAAAGTCAAATTGTGTCGATAAATGTTTTATCTTTTTGTATAATTTTTCAGATAAGGAAATTAATCTTCTACAGGATTATTAATTTAAATACTTTTTATTTATGTTATTACAACATTTGTACCATTGGTATAAAACAAAACTTACTCATAAGACTAGCTCCAGACTCCCTAAAATCCTCTGTGTCATCAGCTTTAGATATGTACTTTATCTTTAATCAAATCAATTTAAAGAACCATTTTTACGTAAAATTTACCTGGTTTAAAAAAAACTTAAAAAGCATCAAATGAAGCAGACTTCAATGCTAAACAAGCTTCATTATTATTATTCAATAAAATTTAAAATATTGATTTCAAATTTTTAATTTTAACTAGTAATTCAAATAAATTATCTTTAAGTAAAAAAATTAAGTATTCAATAACTTCAAAAAAAAATTATCCTAAGAAAATTATGTTTAATAAACAATCTTTGTTTAAAGGTCATTATTTTTTTCATTTATATTGAACAAAAAAACAGTACAAAGCATATAAGCTTAATTAAAAGTTCAAAGTATTAAACTCAATTGTTTAAAGTTTAATTACAAAAAAAAATTAATAAAAAATTTGTCATTCTCTTGCTCACAGTTTTTCAGTGTAAACAAATATGATGTCATCTTCATTTTATATCTCTTGCAATAATCAGTGTTACAATATAATAGTGTTATTTATGTACAGACTGATAATAAAGTGAATTTCATCACAAGGCATTCAACTCTGTAATTAAAGTTAAATTATTTTATTAAAAAAAAAATTTCAACAAAAAAACAAAGAGGTCTCTATATATATATTGAAAATATATAAAGAGAGAGACCTCTAGTGGTCTCTATGTATATATTGAAAAAGCTTGTCAACAAAAAAACTAACAAAGAGAGATCACTACTATATGTGCACCACTGAAAGTTCTGTTAGAACAGTAGTAATGCATTAACAATAATATTTACAGAAAATCAGGAGACAGTATGTGAATGGATGATGGAATAAGTAAGTAATGTAGTAATGAAGTAAATAATGAAATAAGTGAATGCCCAATGAAATAAGTAATGTAATATTGAAATAAGCAATGAAGTATGTGAATGGCCAATGGAATGTAACAATTGTACAAATCTGAAAATAGATATCTGAGTTCATTGTTGTTACTGTTGCACAAACTATTGGTTCATTATGGACATTGTTCCATCTATTAATACTCATGGTTACAGACTGATAATGAAGCAAACCAAAACTGTGGACAGCATTTTTCACCAATATTAATTCTATTAGGAGAGTTTATCCTATAAATAAAAAATGAATCATTTTGATAAACTCTGGAACAACCTGAAATCTGGTCAACCAGTCTGAAAGCTTAAAATAAACTTATTAAGGTAACCCATTCTTGTTATCTGCTAATCAATTGCTTCTATTTCAGATTTTGTGGTTTTAATAAGGTATGAATCCAATTTAGTTAAAACATGCCACTGATTTCTAACAAACATAAAAAAATAGTTTTCTCTATAGTAGATTGACTAGATTTAGTTTTCTCAATAGAAGATTGATTAGTTTGTGTTTCCTCAGTTGTATTTTTCTGGTTGATATTTTCTACAGTTGTCTGGTAGATTTTTTTTACAGTTTTCTGGTTGATTTTTTCCGTCTTGACAAAACTAATATTAATCTTAAATTATCTAAAATATCTTTTAAAATATTTACCAACACTTTTGTGGTTTTTAATCGAGCTACCGAACCTTGTATTTACCAAAATATAACTATATACTAATACAACTAATAATAATTTATATAGGAGTTATTTTCAGGTAGTGCATTTGGATCTAAGTAGAGTAAATCAATAAATAAAATATAATTAAAATTAAAATCATTAAAAACAATTAAAATAAAAAAATTTTATTTAATTTTTTTTTTCATGAAGAATAAAAATTAACTTAAAATAATTAAAAAAAAAAACAAAAAAACATTTAAATCAATAAAAATTGATTTTACTCAATCAATTCAAATCAAAACAACTCTGGTTTCTACATAACAACACATTTTGAAAATAATTTTTGATACTTACAGTTCCTGCTACAGTTTCTCCATCATAATATAAATACATTTGTTCTCGCTTTCCATCTTCTAATTTTACTTCCACTTGTTTTCTGTTTTCTGCATCAGCAAGTACAATCGACACCTCAGCTGTTTGACCGAATCCAAAGAAACTCTAAATTAAATTGTTAGAAAGAAATTTCGGTAAATATTGTTTTTTATTAAATCAAATTGGATAATTTAATAAAATAAAGCATACAATAAAATCCAAACTTTTAAAGATTTTTTATAATTTAATATTGTACCAAAAATTATACAAACTCCGAGAGTTACATTAAACATTGTGAATAAAAACTCCAAGAGCTACACAAAACTTTGTGAATATAAACTCCAAGAGCTACACAAAACATTGTGATACAAACTCCAAGAGTTACAAAAAACATTGTGAATACAAACTCCAAAAGCTAGACAAAATATTGTGAATACAAACTCCAAGAGCTACACAAAAAATTGTAAATACAAACTCCAAGAGCTACACAAAACATTGTGAATACAAACTCCAAGAGCTACACTAATAAATAAATAAAAAACAAAAAAAAACATCAGAAACTATAAAAAATATCAAAAAAACTATACACACCAGTGTTGTGTTTTGATTATTTACTTTGTTTATTTTAGAGTAGAAAAACTTATAAGAATTAAAACATTGTTGTTCTTTATACAAGTGTTTCAATTTTCTACTCTTATCAAAATAAAATATGGATAGAGCTCTAAGACCTTCTCGCTTGGATACATTACCAAACTCACCTTTGGCAACAAAACTATTTAAACATTGGCTCAGAACATTTGAATATTATCTTGATGAACTCCCTCAAGAACTCAATAAGTTAAAAATCCTGACTAATTTCGTTGTGCCCGATGTTCATGAAATAATAAGTGAATGTCCAAATTATGAAGCAGCAATACAAGCTTTACAATCTGTGTACATCAAACCATCAAATGAGGTTTATGCACAACACCTCTTGGCAACTCGTAAGCAACAGCCAGGAGAAAGTTTTGATGAGTATTTACATGCTCTTAAAGTTTTAGCAAAAGAATGTAACTTTAAACAGGTGTCTGCTATTGAATATCGCAATGAATATATTAGAGATGCATTTATAACAGGGATAAATTCACAGGTTTTCAGACAGCAACTACTAGAAAATAGTACAATAAGTCTGGATGAAATATTTTCAAAAGCTAGAACCTTGGAATCAGCGCAGAAAAATGCTGAAAATTGCCTCCAGTATAATATATCAGATACAACAGTAACTGCAATAACAAAAAAGCCAAAGCAATTTAACTCAAATTCTGTTTCAAATTGCTGGAACTGTGGGAATCAAAGACATGCTAAAGCTGTCTGTCCTGCTAGAGAGTCGATTTGTTTTAAATGTGAGAAAGTTGGTCATTTTGCCAAGTTATGTAAATCTTCTAAACTTACAACAGCAGGGATAAATCTTGTTGATCAACCTTTAAACTCATACAATCCTTCACTCACTTGACTAGACTACCCTGAACATAAAACTAATTTAAAGATTATTTCTGCTTCCATTTCACCTTTGACTAAATCAACAATTGGCATGTTGGTTAATGGTTCATTCGTAAATGCTCTCATTGACAGTGGTAGCACTGATAGTTTTATTCACCCTCGATTGGTACAAAAACCAAACCTAACAGTTCATAGACAAAACCAAAAACAGGTATCTATGGCTTCATCATCTTTATCTAGTACAGTTTGTGGAGTAGTTTTTGTCAACATTTCAATAAAAAATGAGCATTATAAACTAGTAAAACTTAACATCTTAAATGAGTTATGCATGGATGTTATTCTGGGTCTCAATTTTCAAAAACAACACAAAGCTGTAACCCTTAAGTTTGAAGGAAAAAGACCCCCACTATTAATTTGTGGTTTGTCGAAGTTGAATGTATCTCCCCCCAGTTTATTTGGCAATTTATCGCCTAACTGCAAACCAATAGCTTCAAAATCTCGTCGATATAGCAAAGAAGACCAATTATTCATTGAAATGGAAGTACAACGTATGCTTAAAGAGGACATTATCGAACATTCAAATTCTCCCTGGAGAGCTCAGGTAGTTGTAACTAAAGGAGAACGCTCTAAGAAAAGATTAGTTATTGACTACAGTCAAACAATAAATAAGTATACTCAACTAGACGCTTACCCATTACCAAGGATTGATGATCTAGTAAACAAAATTGTTCAATACAAAATATTTAGTACAGTTGATTTGAAATCAGCCTACCATCAAATTCCAATTACCAAAAATGATAGCAAATTTACAGCTTTTGAAGCAAATGGGAGGTTGTTCCAATTTAAGCGAATGCCTTTTGGAATTGAAAATGGGGTTGCTTGTTTTCAACATACCATAAACGAATTTATAGAAAAAGAAGGACTTTTAGATACTTACGCTTATCTAGATAATGTGACAATATGTGGTAAAACCCAAGAGGAGCATGATCTTAATCTTAAAAAATTTCTCAAGTCAGCTAAAAATATAAATCTTACTTATAATCATGATAAATGTAGCTTTTCCCAAGATAAAATTTGCATTCTTGGTTATCTTATAGAAAAAGGAAAGCTCAAACCAGATCCCAGTCGTCTTCAACCTATGAAAGAAATGCCTCCTCCTCATGATGCTAAATCCATGAAGCGTATCATCGGACTATTCTCATACTACTCTAAATGGATTCCAAACTTTTCTGATAAGATAGCTTCTCTTACCAAAAACACCAAGTACCCATTAGATCATCAGTGTGTAAATGATTTCAATCAACTTAAACAAGACATTGCAAATGCTGTGACAGATTATGTAGACGAAAATGTTCTATTTGAAGTAGAAACGGACGCATCTGACATTGCTATAGCTGCAGTTCTTAATCAAAATGGCCGCCCTGTAGCTTTCTTTTCAAGATTACTTCAAAAATTTGAACTCAAACATCCCTCTATTGAGAAAGAAGCTTGCGCAATAATAGAAGCAGTCAGGCATTGGAAACACTACCTTACTGGACGCCATTTTAAACTTATTACAGATCAGCAACCTGTATCCTTTATCTTTGAAATGCAACATAAATCAAAGATTAAAAATGATAAAATTTATCGAAGGAAAATTGAACTATCGTGCTATAATTATGACATTGTTTACAGGGAAGGGAAACTAAATATTCCAGCTGACACATTTTCTAGAATACATTGCTCAGCAATAAACACTAACAATTTAATTCAGCTTCATCAATCACTCTGTCATCCTGGAGTAACTAGGTTTTATGCTTTTATTAAAAACCGTAATTTACCTTTCTCAATTGATGATGTTAAACAAATAACTAATCAGTGCAAACTATGTTGTGAATGTAAGCCTAGATACTACAAACCACTAAAATCTAATTTGATAAAGGCGACACAACCACTGGAACGTTTGAACTTTTGATTTTAAAGGACCTCTTCCTTCGGAAACTAATAACAAGTATTTTTTAACCATAATTGATGAGTATTCTCGTTTTCCTTTTGCAATCCTGTGCCCTGATATTTCAGCTCAGACTGTAATTAAGTGTTTGTTACAAGTATTCTCAATTTTTGGTTTGCAAAGTTACATCCATTCCGATAGAGGTTCAGACTTCATCAGTAAAGAATTAAAACAATACTTACTAGAGAAAGGTATTGCGACAAGTCATACTACAGCATATAATCCACAAGGGAATGGACAAGCCGAAAAGTATAATGGAACCATAATGAAGTCTATTGAGATTGCTCAATAATCACAATTTACCCATCAAAGCTTGGGAAAAAGTATTGCCAGACGTTCTCCATTCTATAAGATCCTTAGTAAATACTAAAACAATGGAGACACCTCATGAAAGAATGTTTAAGCACCTTCGTAAAACAGCCTCTGGATGCACTTTACCTTCATGGTTAAGTCATCCTGGACCAATACTAATGAAAAGACATTTACATAATAATAAGTATGAACCACTGGTAGACGAAGTGCAACTCATAGATGCTAATCCTCAATATGCTCACATAAAGTATCTAGATGGAAGAGAAACTACAGTATCCCTAAGACACTTAGCTCCAACAAGTTCTGCTCCGATCATTTATCAAACAAACCATATTGAACCTTCACCAGAGAATGCCTTTAATAATATTGAACCTTCACCAGAGAATGCTTTTAATAAACCTTCTTACCCCTATAAACCATTAACACCTGAGAAATATGGACTTACCAATACCAATCCTGAAAACTTTTCTAATCAGCCTCCCCTTTATCAACCTCCACTAGCTGAAAATCTTGTCAATGATGCTTGTCCCATCAATCCATTGTTATTAATAACACCTGGAAAAGACACACGTAGATCCTCAAGAGTAATTCGTCGACCATTACGACTTATAGAAGAAGATACATGAAAAACCTTGTTTATATTATAGTATATTCTGTTTATATTATGGCTGCAGAGAATGTTGTGTTTTGATTATTTACTTTGTTTATTTTAGAGTAAAAAAACTTATAAGAATTAAAATATTGTTGTTCTTTATACAAGTGTTTCAACCAGAAACTAAAAAAAAAAGAAAAGAAATTAAAATGCAAAATTAAGACATAACACTAAAAACACTAAAAAAAGGTTTTAAAAATTATACTTTTCAAAATTCTTATTGCAAAAAACAAAAAATTGAAGTCAATACAATGGCTGATTAACAGTAAAACATGTAAACACTGGCCCTTCATCTTGTTCAAAAGTCATGAGTGTGTGTTTTTTTATTTTAGACATGATTCCATATTGTCAATGTTAATATGGCTAAGTGATAAGAACAAGTGATGAAATTTTGATTGATGTCACGAGTAAAGATTTCATTGATGTCACGAGTAAAGATTTCATTGATGTCATTAGTAAAATGAAAAACTTATGACAATAATCTTTGTCACTTTGTAAAAGATTATTAATAAAGATGTTCAAAGTAAAGAAAAAGATGTTCAAAATAATGAAATTTTTGATTTTAAAGAGTTTGATCTTAAAAATGAGATTCTACAATTCAAATTTTTTTTTATTTATGATGAGCTACAGTTATTTTTAACATTTCTGAAAAACTCAAAAGTTATACGATAATATTTAAAGTTAGCAGAAATA